GATGATGATCAGATCACATCTCTGTGTGCAGCACTAACATATATCTCACTGCATTATTACAATAAATGGCTAAATGAATGTTTGGAAATGTAAACTGATATTTCCTCCTGACACACTACAGCAGAACGTTCTGAATCTGGAGTCAGACCTGGTTCAGATTGATGGGAATCAATGCATGTACCCCGTTGGCTGCGCTGACGGCCTGATAGTAGATGCTGTAGCTCTTGTGTGGCAGCAGCGGGGCGTTCCAGTATCCGCCGTAGGTCCGGTTGTCTCCGACGGTGAACGTCTGCGGAGATGAGATGCCTGCGGAGGGGAACTCAGCGCTGTAGTAGTACTGAGAGTTCAGCCAGCTGGCGTTATGATAGTGAACTGGCAGCGGATAACAGCGCAGGATCTCCGCTTCACCTCCACGAGCCCTTCGAGGACGCTCCTCCTCAACAACCACCTGATACACACTGAGAGAGATTACTTGTTCAAATGTTGTTTCAATTGCTATATTGTTCCAAATTACACTGTCGTATATGTTCTCTTTTCCTATGCATGCTTTGGCAATGCAAAATGTGCTTTTGTCATGCCAATAAAACTAACTGAATTGAATTGAATTGAGAGAGAGAGAGAATAAACATTACTGTACAGCCCACACAAACAATGCTTTTATTCAGTGAGGACGCATTCAATTCATCAAAAGTGCCAGTAAAGATATTTATAATGTTCCAAAAGATTTCTATTTCAAATAAATGCTGTTCCTTTGAACTTTCTATTCATCTGTGAATCCTGAAAAATAAAATGTAGCACGGTTTGTCACGTGTGCGCTACTGTGGAGGAGCGAGGAACGAGGAGACCAGGAGTACAATCCAAACACAGACTTTAATCACATCACGGGAACCAGGAACTCACATGTAGCGGGAAGGAAGACATTCACAGACATTAACAACACCGGACGCCGAACTGATAACAAGGAACACTATTTATACAAATGACATGCCGATGGGATAACGAGACACACCTGGGATCAATAGAACTGAAAAGGGGACACCTGGAACAGATAAGGACAGGAACGGGAAGGACCAAATATGGGCATGGAAGGCACATCGGGAGCAAAACACACACAAAACACAGAACAAAGTCTGACAGGTTTCCACAAAAATATTGTGCAGCACGACTGTTTTCAACATTGATAAAAATCAGAAATGTTTCTCGAGCAGCAAATCAGCATATTAGAATGATTTCTGAAGATCATGTGACACTGAAGACTGGAGTAATGATGCTGAAA